AATACAGTTCGATGCAAGTTGAAGTGTTTGTTATACTTTTGCGGCTGCACCACTCGAACATACCGGTTTACTGCCATGAGAGTTATGTTGAGCACGGACGCACAGGCAAACGTTAATGCAGCTACTCCTTGGTAAGAGCAAACAGCTTTGTTGTAAGGCCATTTTGAATATAAATGTACTCCAAGGTTTAAAGGGTTGCTGAAGGCATTGAGTCCAAAATCTGCGGCTGCGAGTGACGCTATTAAGTAGTTAGAGGAYGTTTTCAGATTTGAATTSGAAAAGATTATCTTCAGAGTCATGCCATTGCCAAAGAGCGAAAGAAGAACGACGACCAACCATAGAATGAATTCWATGCTCTTTGTCCAAGCATTTCTCGTTTCAAGGTCTTTCAAAAGACGATCATAGTCATCGAGCAAAGACGTGTGGTTTCCTCTCATGATAAACCTGAACTGCAAAATGTTTGTTTGGAGGCCGGACGCAGGTGTAAGTTATTTGTCATTAGTTGCACTTGTTCAAATGCTATAGATACTGATGTATTTTGGAATGGAAATAGATCAGTTATTGCTGCTACCCTTGTTTGTTTTTCTTAATGCCCAAATGGCAATGTTCCATAAGAGTTTAAGCTAAAAGTTTATAACATATCCCCCCAAAAATTGACTTACTTTTCCATGTTAAATTTGTATGTTTTGTTGTTACTATATTCCCTTCCTTTTTCTTCTTTTTTTTTCTTTGATGGTTCTCTAATGCGAAAATGCGTTATGACATGTAATCGAATGCAATCACCTGCCTATTTAGGAGTGCTACATTAAGCTGCTTTTACCGTCTAATCTAAATGAAAATCCTACTAATGAGCAGCCTCGAGAGTCTTTATTGTGAATTTGCAAAGGATAGACTACGAGTGTTTGGAAATAAAGAAATTAAGAAAAATATTGAAACTTGAATAATTAGCGCTATATGAATGTGTACAGTGCATCGGGGGTTATAATTCAGAAACCAATTCTTATAGAAATGTGATGCAGGTTAGTAATAGGGAGAGCTTATTGAAGTTTTGGTGAAACACAATCCTTCCTCATGAAGATTATTCATTCAGGTGACGCAGAATTTAGAAAAGAATGATGAACATTTTTAAGAATAAGTTTGTATTTCAATCCCGTTTTTTTTAATATAGTCGTTTATTTGGAAAAGATAGAGTTGGGAATTAAGTCACATTCATAGTTTGTTATCGGGATATAAAGGCCCATCATGTGACCCAATAGTTCGATGCTCATTGGACTAATGACTCATGAATTATTAATGAGTTCTAGAATACGAATTGGTTCAATTCCTTCAAAATGAGGCSTCTTTWTTAGACACCTGTGTATACCTWCTGAATATACAGGAGGAGCCGACGTGGTCTGCTCCTCTAAATAACTGTTCCTGTAATATAAGAATTTGTTCCAGGAAAAGGATTTTGAGTTACATTTTAATTTAATTTTAATTTATTAGCTTTGCCCCTAGTATGGGCAGGGACACCGCAACAGCGTGAGCCAATTACTGCGGACCCTGTACTCTCACACTCACTACCTCTACTTTAAGTATTTTAGCACACATCACTCCTCACATGTTGATTTTTACTGAGGGAGGAAAACCGGAGGACCCGGAGAAAAACCCTCGTGGCAAGGGAGAGAACAACACATCAAACAAACTCAAACTCACATATGGTCCGTGCCCGGGAATCGAACCCGGACCACAGCGGTGAGAGGCCAGCAGCTTAACCACTAGGCCACCCTTGCCACCCTTGTTGACAATCTCACAAGAAAATCTGGCGTCCTTCCTTCTTTAAAATAGTTTTGTTCCTGGCAAACGTTTTTATGGTCAAAAACGGCTGATATTAATTTTAGTTAGGAAATTTTAATTTTCCTGGCAAAAATTCTTAGAAAGTATTCCTTTRGTGGAGAGATCTTTTTTTCTGAATTTCTCGCTGGCAACCAGTTGTGACATACAGCTGMCTGGGACATAAGAACAAGTATATTTCTCCCAGGAACCCGTCGGTTCCTCCTAAATAATATACGATAACAACGGACTTTTTGAAGACGTGAGAGAAAGAGATGTGATAGTGTTTGTGTGAATTCCTTTCCGCTGGTAAACCATCGCTCAAAATCAATTTTCTGAAACCACTTTTTACGTTTATTAATAATTATATATTTTAGAGAAGATGAAAAAAACCCATCGGCAACCACTGGAAAAAATCGCGCGCTTTAAAGGTTGTAAACTTGATGTAAATATAATGTAAATGCCCAAAATTCTGTAAAAAATCATTTGCATTGACTTTACAGAATTTTGGACACTTACATCATATTTACATCAAATTTACAACCTTTAAAGCGCGCGATTTTTRCCAGTGACGGTGAATCCATGTCGTCACATTGCCTGCTTTAGACAATCGTAGACGTTTAGATGTGTAATTCCTATCAMGAGGAAAGTCGAAAATGCTTTGATAAAGCTCATCTGAGAAAACGTATATATTGTATATTTAATAAGTAGAATAAATGAAGAAAAAGTCACGCAACTTGTAACTTGGTTTTCTACTTTTTATTGAACGTTTCGGCACTTCGGCCTTCTTCAGTATATTTAATATATATATCTGTTCCCGATGCACAATATAAACACATTTAATTACACTAAGACATGATGAATTTAATCTAATTAGTGAAGTTGTTTTAGTGTGAAAATATTAGCATATTCTCCATACACTGTATGCTGTCTTTATTATCTCACCATAGTGCTAATTAGGAAATATGTATCCAGACTCTTTCGATATAAAGTCGGCAATTCAGGTCGGAATGTAAATGTTATATCAGCGTCCTGGTGACGTCTTCTCACGTGGTCGCTGGATCCCTTGAATTCAGATGCGACAATCTGGACACCGATATCTGGACAGCATGGACAGTAACCTAACTTCCTGGATAAACGATTACAATCGTCTTTTTAAAGAACTGGAAGGAAGAAGTTCTGAAACTGTTTATGTTGAATTCCTTTGTTGGCTAACCATTGTTCTGATTGCTTTACTTGGGAACGGTTTTACCCTGAAAATCATCCTCTTCAGTGCGAATCTAAAAAGTTCTTCAAATTACCTCATAGCGTCCCTAGCAGCAGCAGACCTTGGACAGAATATTTTTAGTGCTTCTTTAGCTCCGAGTGTGATTCTATTGTCGAAGTGGCCCTTCAGCAATGCTATTTGTGATTATCAAGGAGTCTCCGCTCTTGTGTTCGCTTGTGCTTCGGTACTTAACATCYCTCTTATGGCAGTCAACCGGTATGTCCGAGTGGTCAAGTCATCTAGTTATAAAACCCACTTTAGTTTGCGTCGAACAGTTGTGTATTTATGTGGAGTTTGGCTTCTTTCTCTCGTGGGACCACTGTCGTATTTAGCATTAGGTGAACATTATTCCTTTCACCCAGGGAAATATTTCTGCTATATTAAAGTTGACGATTATTTATTTCTCGCCTTAGTGGTGACATTATACATCGCAATTCCTTCAAATATCATAATCMTCTGRTACTACAAAGTCTATAAGACAATAAGACACCATAACCAATCGATGAAGAAYTGGGGAAGGTCATCCCAGAATATCACTTCCCAGGAAATTAACGTCACCAAAACACTTTTRCTGATCGTTGTCATGTTCATGGTATGCTGGTRTCCCATTTTTGTCATGGACATTATTGACGTGGTGCATTTGAGATGGTCACTACCAAGACAAGCTTATGTCGCTTACACTTCCTTCGCTGGAGCGAGCTGTTGCATCAACCCTGTATTATATGGGATCATGAATCCTACATTTAGGYAAGAATATTTGAAGATTCTCTGCAGGCATAGAAGATGTATGGGYAGGCCACAAGTGGTAAGGGARGRTTCCAACARCGGCGGGCARAGGGATAGAAACGAAGAGCAAGCAGAAGAGAGAAACTAGATATAACCACAATATSACTGATATTTGCGTGTTTTATTGTTTTGAATGCTTTTTAATGCTAAAAGGTAGAGAAATTGGAACTCAAATTTTAGGTATTTTAATAATCTTAAAAGATGTCTATCCTTTTCTCTTCCCTATGAAAAAAAGAAAGTGCAAATGTGGAGGGGTTTCCATGCATGCACGTGCAGCCAAGAAGGACTTACGCTGTTTTCTGAAAACGGAAAATCGCACTAGTTTTGGAGAAAGTATGGGCGGTTAGACTTAAACCATTTTATTCTGCTTTGAGTGTTCATTAATATTTTAGAAGGGATTATCATCCCGAGTGCTAGCGGGATAAGAAAAATATGTAGTCTCGTTCGCCCAAACCCCCTCAGTAGCTAATTTTTAAGTTTTAATTTGTTGACATTGAATAACACCTTAATATTGGTTTGTAATAGTGGTGAATTTTCTCAATGTTTCTGCGTATTTTAACACCTAAGTTGGTAATTTTATTTTAATAACGAATTCACATCTGAATCAAATAATTGGTAGAAGATTTGCCACCTGCGTAGATGCTGCTTAAAAAAACCTTCAATCTAACATTAACATTCAAGTTGGACGTCAGTTTTTTTTTCTTTTTCACTATCAATTCGTAAGGGCAGATTTGTATAGGAAATCGCACGACCTTGAGTACAATTTGGAATTAATAGTCACGAGTAATGTTTTGAAAGTTSTCGTAATTTGAMAACTTTCAAAACATTACGAGTTTATAGTACATTCAACTTAATTAAGGAGTACAATTAACGCCGTTATTGTACTCCTCTGGACCAATCAGAATGTATTATTTTGTTGAATGTACTATAAGTGAAGAAATTCTTTTAAAATCGTCTCAAGGCACTAGAAAAAAAAGTGGCGTGAGACAACTGGGAACGAGTCCTGTACGTTCTATGAGTTGGATGTTTGTGTGCTTTTTTGTTGTTGTTGTTGTTAGGTTTTTATTATTTTTGTTTTTGTTGTTGTCATGTGTTTTTTGCAGTTGTTGTTTTTGTTGATTATGTAATGACAAATCGCAAGGGTATAATTTGAGATGCACTACAAAATTCTGAGCAGGGGTTCACTAATACGAGCCAAATGCGTTTGCAAGGCACTTTGTGGGTGTAAAGTTTTTTWAAATGTATAGTTTTAACTAGATGCTTGAATATTTTTGTGTTWACAAGTGAGTTTAAAAACGGTTTTATTACAAATCAATTTGAAAAAGAGGCTTTAAACATTGTGTGTTTTTTTTTCCATGTAAAAATATATCTTACTCTGTAAAATACTTAGTGACTGAGCATGAAAATCAATATCTATTTTAATTAAACTATTGTATGTTATAAACACAAGCCATAATTACACTCGTTCTTGCATAAAAGTCTCTTTGATCACA